AGATGTTGTCGGTCGTCTGCACTCAATCAGTGGTGTGTCGCACAAGATCACAAACAATGGCCCTGCTGTCAAACAGACAGTCGTGATTGAGAATGAGAGGTTTGTTTTGTTGTTTGGTTATTTTGTTTTTGCCTTCGTTTAGGTCCTATTGTGGGTGTTTATTTTTTGTTTTTACCATGCCCAGTGGGGAGAAGGTTACGATCACTCTGTGGGATGAGTTTTCAAGGATTATCGACCATGTGGCGCTGACTCAGGCAGATGCGATTGAGACTGTCGTCCTTGCTTTTGGGGGGCTTTTGGTCAATAGATTGGCAGGTGTGCCAGCTCGGCGGCTACTCGCGTGTCGGTTAATCCGCAGGTCCCAGAGGCTTACCGCCTTGCTCAGAGGTGAGGGTTTGTAGTTGCTCTCATGGTTTATTGTTCTTAGTCAGTTGTGCTCATGTGTTTTGCCGTCCCGTTCTGTGGGATTAGGTTTGCTGAGACGCGTGAAGTGGTTGGTTCTTTGCCCATCGAGTTTGCAACAGCGGAGGAGGCTGCTGCAGATGCAGAGAGGCGGACTAGGACATTGGCACAGCTTACCGATCTTGCTCTGGCAAATGCTTCTTTGGTGTGTTTCAGCCTGCTTCATTGTATTGTCTGCACTTGGTTTGGTTTGCTGACTGTCATATTTGGTTTTCAGGATGAGAGGCATCGTTGTGGTGGAGTGATTGTGGACGTTGAATCACACATCCCATGGTACTACAATTCGTGTAGGTTGTGCAACAGGGCTGTTTCTCGGCGTCGTGATAACACGTTTTGGTGTCCTAAGGATTGGCAGTTGCAAGAGGATCAGACCAGGGTTTGGTCAGTGAATTGCGGAACTGGTCTCTTTGCTATCTTCAACCAAATTTGCTTTCATTGGTGTTTATGTTCTGATTTGTCGTGCAGCTATAAGCTCCAGCTTACTCTCAGGGATGACACCACTGATGCTCGCTTTATTGTCATGGGAAGTTGTGGTCATGCTCTGGTTACCATTGCTGCTTCGTATCTGGCACAGAGGTTCCCCTTTCGACCGGGGCAGTTGCCTCCTCAGCTTGCACAACTTCGTGGACAGTATGTGAAATTTGATTGCAAGCTGCCTTTGCCAGCACCGACTGGCTTTTCTTCTGGGGAGTTCCGTGTGGTTCAGTTTGTTCCCCTCGATGACCCTACGGTGGTTGGTGATCTCTTGGAGTACCATCCGAGGGTTGATCATCAACTATCATTGCAGTCTGCTGTTCCCCCAAGTAATGGGAAACCAGCCGCTCCTGTTGTCGGGTCCATATGATCCTGCCTCCCGCCCAATCTCATCAAGGTTGTCACTTTCGTCCCTGACTATGTGCAACTTTGTTGGTGTTTTTTGGTTGTTTATAATGGATTGAACATCATGATAATATAAACTTTTGTTGTTTTGTTTCACTCAAGTGTTTCCAAAGGAAAGGAAAAGGTCACAGATACTGTTCCAGCCAATGCACCTCCTCAAGTGTTTAGCATTGGATTGCTTGGTCCTGACTCTTTCAGGTTGTTTGCTTGCTTAAGTTGGTTATCTCATTTGCTCACGTTAATTGGATTTGCATGTTTTTTTATGTCTGAAAATTGTGTTTGCTGGTTTGCAGCTCATCAGCCCTTGGCATGCAACTTCCTGTTACGGACCTTGGTATTGCTCCTCCTGTGACAGCTTCATCAGGGTGCGCTCTTCTTTGGTCTTTTGCTTGTGATTGGTAGGAAAATCGTTGCCAGTTTTTCTGCAGCTGGAAGATTGTGATTGCCGTCTAATGTGGTTGTGTTTTGCTGCAGTAGTGCGAAAGGGAAGGACAGGGTTTTAGGACCTGGTTTGTTTGAGCCTGCAACCCAACAATTCTGTGTTGCCTTGCAGGGTGTTGAAGTTAAGAGGTTAGCATTTTTTAGAGGATTCGTGAATGGTGTGTGCATTTTCTTATTGGCTTCGCAGCACTGATTTAAACAAGCTTACACGTGTGTTTGTGTTTCTCCAGTGGTTTGCCACTTGCTGTGCAAGGTCATGTGACCAAAATTGGGGATACACAACCACTGACTTCAGTTGCTCAGGTTGGCTCTGCGTCCAGGGACCTGCAAAAGCCCGGAACTGAACAAACTGAAGTGGTTGCTGATCCACAGGGGACTAACGTGCAGAACAAGCCATTGATTCCTAGCCAGTCTTTCAGTGTTGCCACATCTTTGGGTTCAGGGGATACCATGAACTGCTCTCCCACTTCTGTTTCGAAGGCCCAGAGAACTGTTCTTGATTCTTCCCCTGGAAAGACACCGACTTCTGTACCCAGCTCACCTTCTGCATCGTTGTGAGTTGAGCAAACAAAATTCAGCATCTTTTTTCATGCAACTTTAACCAGTTTTGTTGACTTCTTGCCCTCTCTTTGTTTGATAGGTTGGTCTCTCCTCTTGCAAAGGTCAAGGTTGAGAAGCTTGAGGCTATTGGATCAGCTACTTCGCAGAACTCGGCCATAGAAACCCAAGAGTTCTGTATTGGGAGCGAAGGTGTTTCCAGAAAGGGCAAGAAGGAGGTCCCTGCTAAGCGTTCGTTGTTCAAGGACTAAATTTAACGGTTAGTCTTGCAAAATGTGTGATGCTTGGAGGACACCTGTTATGCTAGATATATGGCCTCTTTTTCACATTTTTACTTAATGCAAAATAGTGTGTACCCGAGTCTTGCAGTGTGCTTTGTAATTTCATTTTGGCGCTGACCCCTTCCCTGCGTTTCTAACTATTTTTGCTTCTGCGCAGGTTCCAGCAGTCATGTGGTGCATCATATTTCGTGACACACAGGAGCATTATGTGTAGTTGTATCCATCGCTACTGGGATGTTTTGGGATTGGCTGGCGCTGAAGTGTGTGATTGTTGCAGTGGCACTTTTGCAAGTTCATACACACCTTATGTGTATGTGAGGGTTGGTCTCGGGGGGTGGTGCTTTTGGTCTATGGCAGTTCATGCGCCATTTAAGAGTCACGAACTTTGCAGGTGTATGTGGTCATCATTATGTAAATGACTTAAGTCTGGCTTTGTTTTCTTTTAAGAAATTGTGCATGTAGTTCGTTTGCCTGTATATAGTATGTATATGTATGTCAGAACAGCTGCTATTGTTATAATATGTGTGAGGGTGTTATCCCTGAAATTGGTTTCCATGGATGCTTTTGTTCGCCACAACTTCTGGGTGATAGTGCAATATAGGTATGGTGTTGCTTGAGGATTCCATTCCTGGTCTTTTCAAATGTTGGTGTGCAGAACCTATTTAGAACCAAATGGTATCTGTTGGAGCCTATTTCAGAAACGCAGTTGTTTGACCCAAGAACTGCAGATGTTCATTGCTTTGTCACAATTTGTAGTCGGACTGCATGAGATATCGGTGGGAATTACTATAACAGTTACAAAGTACTGTTCACTTTAGAAATGTTCACACTTGCGATAGTGAGTAGCAGGATCGCCATAGTTCGGTCAATTTTAAAAGGCTTTCGTCAATTCAGTTTGGTGTTGATCGTTCGTCTGTTTAGGATGGGTTGCTTTAGTTGGATAATTCTCAGTTGTGTGCAGTGTTGTCAGCATTAAATGCTACTACAGATGCAATCATTAGTAGCACTTAACCAAGAGAAAACCCCAATTTTATATTAGGGGCACTTTGTCAGAGACAACAAATCACCACATTAAATGCTCTACTTCCCACACATGTGATTTAACTGCTAAAATATGATGCTTTTGTTAGTTGTTGGTCAGAAATTTCGAAAATTATGAGGACAGAAGCTTTACTTTCTGTTTTCTTCTTTACATGTTCTTCATCTGGTCTCTATGCTCTCTAGTTGTTCTTCAACGAAACCAGCAGGTCTTTTTGATAGAACTCTTGGATCGTGCATCATAGGAGGTGTCTTTGCTGTCTTTCAGTTCTGATTGATTTCTTGCAGACAAACAGGTATGGGGGCAGCGTGTTTATGATCGTTCTTCTAGGGTGTTTATTGACCTTTTGTGAAATAATAGGTTTGCTGCCACAATTAATGGTTGCGGCTGCATAGCAGCCATTATTGCACAAGCCGTTATTCGCTTTGGTCACTCTTAGGTGTCATTTATTATTCCAGATTTAATGCGTATGTTGTATGTTGTTGGTGAGTACACCCAAGACATATTCTCATTCTGTTTCTATGATTGCAGCGATGCCTCCCAAGAAGAAGAAAGCACAATATCAGACTCTTAAACCTAAGAGAAGTTCGTGTCCACAAAACCAACCCTCCTCGATCCAGAGTCGTTCTGGTCTTCCTAATGAACATGGAACACCAGGACACTCTCATCACAGGACACGTTTTCCATATCATCAATTTGAATCGAGTACAAGCAGGACAAACCATAACATCGATCCAGCTCATCAAGTGAAAGATCCCTACGCAACTGTAAACAATTCTGATCATGTTTTCCCTGATGATGGGGGTACCCAGAGTGACATCCCTACTTCTAAGAGGCCGCAGTATGATGATGTTCTCAACATAGGGAAGCCGGAATGCGTCTGCCAGTTCTGTGGAGCCATGTTTTGGTATTTAGAGCGCCTGGACAGACGGCGAAAAAGCTCAAATCCAGTGTACACGCTTTGCTGTCAGAAGGGCAGGGTCTATCTACCGCTACTACAGAAGCCTCCACAGCTATTGGCGGAATTACTCACGATTAATGGTGGCCCCATGTCGAAACATTTCAGGGATAACATTCGACCGTATAATGGTTCGCTTTGTTTTACATCATTTGGTGCCACAATTGATCCTCGCTCTGTGTCAAGCAGGGGACCTTATTCTATGGTGATATGCGGCGAAAACTACCATCGAATAGGTTCGCTGCTGCCACCCGAAGGAGGGAAACCAAAATTCGCACAATTGTATATTTTTGAACCTGAAAATGAGATTGACAATAGGTTGTCCAATTTTACCTCCAGAGAAGCACAGTTGTCCCCTGAGTTGCTGACATCCTTGCTTCGAATGTTGGACGACCACAATGAGTTAGTACAGACATTCAGACGAGTTCGACAACAATTGCAAGACAGCAGTACGCCGAATCTAAAGCTGCGAATATTTGGAGCCAAAAGTAGGAATAGACAGTATGACCTGCCAGTAAGTTCTGAGATTGCTGCACTAATTCCGGGTGATTTTGTTCCAGACAGAGATGATCAAGACATCATTGTTGATCATGTTCATGAAGGGCTGAAGCGGATCACAAGCTTGAATCCAAAATTCGATGCGCTACACTTTCCTCTTTTGTTTCCGTACGGAGAAGATGGCTATCATCCGTTGATAAAGTATAGAGCAGATAGATGCTCGGCTTCAATGCGAAGACAGTTTGTGACGCAACGAGAGTATTATGCATACAGGCTACAATATAGGGAAGCTGAGGGACACACGTTGGTGCAAGCTGGGAAAGCATTGCAACACTATTGTATCGATGCCTACTCTTCAGTGGAGCTCAATCGACTAGCTTTTTTGAGAACACACCAGACAGAATTGAGAGCAGAAGTGTATCAGGGTCTGCAGGATGCCATGGCACGAGGTGACCTTGATGGGGACAAAGTGGGACACGTTGTGCTTCCGGGAACTTACATTGGCAGCCCGCGATATATGCAGCAGCTGTACCACGATGCTATGGCAGTTGTGGAGTTTTTGGGCAATCCTGATCTATTCATCACATTCACGTGCAACGCATTGTGGGATGAAATTTCACAGTCTTTCGACACAATTGTTGGTTCGCATGTTGTGGATAAACCAATGGTCGTCTCGAGAGTCTTCCATATGAAATTGAATATTTTGATTGACGACATAAAGAGAGAGTCTTACTTTGGAAAGACGATTGCAAGTAAGCAGTTGTCCATGGCTACAACAACTATTCATTCAACTATTTATTGTTACCTTTCCATGGTTCATTCATCTGCATGCATCTCTGTCTTAAGCACTTTGCCTTCAACACTTTGCTGCTGATTGTTGTTGCATAATCGTGTTTTTTCACAGTTATGTACACGGTGGAATTTCAAAAGAAAGGCCTTCCACACATACATCTGTTGGTTTGGCTTGCTGAACAAGACAAGCTTAAGTCGCCGTCTGACATTGATCAAGTAATCTCAGCAGAAATTCCAGACCCACAACTCGACCCGGTGGGATACGAAGCAGTTGTTAAGTATATGCTCCATGGTCCATGCGGCGAGTCAAATACAACAGCACCGTGTATGAAAGATAAAAAGTTAAATTCCAACAAGAAATGTGGCAAGCATTTCCCAAAGGAATTCAATTCAGCCACCAGTTTTGATAAATTTGGAAACGTTGTCTACAAGAGATCGAACTCTGGGATTCATGTGCAGAAGAAAAATGGCGTTCTTGATAATAGACATGTCGTGCCCTACAATCGAAATCTCTTGGTCCGGTTGCAAGCGCATATCAATGTCGAGGTGTGTCACAAGGGCAAGCTAATCAAGTACCTTTTTAAATATGTTACGAAAGGACCAGATCGATCTTTGATCATTGCAGAGGAATCAAGCACATCAATGGCAGTTCCAACGACACAGTCCGGAAAAAACAGAGATGAAATTCAGCAATTCATTGATTGCAGATCCTTGTCATCATATGAGGCAATATGGAGGCTCAACGAATATCCGATCCACTTTAGAGAACCATCAGTGGTTCGCTTGGGGGTGCATTTGGATGGCCAGCAGAAGGTTCCGTACAGAAAACAGTCAAGTGTTAGCAATGTTCTGAAAAATCCTAATGCTGGAAAGACACATTTGACTGAATGGTTTGTGCTAAATCAAAAGGATCCAGAAGCAAGGAACTTGACGTACTCACAGATACCAACTAAATATACATGGTTGGAAGACTGCAAAGAGTGGTCCCCACGCAAGAGAAACTTTGCAATTGGTAGAGTTGCATACGTACCACCAGGCAGCGGTGATGTATTTTTTCTTAGAATTCTGTTGACAAAAGTTCGTGGAGCCACTAGCTATGTTAATCTAAGGACTGTTGAGGGAGAGATCTGTGCAGATTATGAAAAGGCCTGTGAGAAGTTGGGGCTCTTGGCTGATTCGTCAGAGTGGATAAGAGTGCTCAACGAGATTTCTGGTGCTAGCATGCCAAACGTTATTCGGAATACCTTTGTGTCAATGTTGATGTTTTGTGAAATACCCAACCCTTCTGCTCTATTTCAGGCCACTTGGCGTTACATGGGAGATGATTATGCATATCAAGTAGACAAAGGCGGTAGATCAGGAGAACCCAAATTGTCAGATGAGAGATTGCAAAACTGGGTTCTGCGTCAGCTTCAGCAATTGCTCGGTTCACACTCAGCATCTTTGGAAGATTTCAATCTCCCTGTTCCACATGATATGGTTTCCGATGATGGCACCAATCCATTGATCAATGATCACCTAAATTTTGAAGTTGATCAACAACAAGCATTGTGTGCATCTCTGTTGGAATCTTTGAACAAAGAACAGCTCCACATATATTCAGCGGTCATAAATTCAGTCCACAACAACAAGGGCTGTCCATTCTTCTTGTATGGCCACGGAGGTACAGGAAAGACATATCTGTACAACGCAATCACAGCAAAGCTCAGAAGTTTATCAAAGATTGTTGTTCTGGTTGCTTCTTCAGGAATTGCTGCGACTCTTCTGCCAAAGGCCACTACAGCACATTCAAGATTCAAAATACCCCTTACTCTGGACATGACGTCGACATGCCCGATAAAAAAAGGAACACATCTGGCTGAGTTGTTGAGAGAAGCTTCTTTGATAATTTGGGATGAAGCACCGATGACCCATCGTCAAGCCTTTGAAGCTGTTGATCGAAGTTTATGTGACATTATGAACATTCCACTGAGAGGGCAGCGTTATAGACCATTTGGTGGTAAAACAGTGTTGTTTGGGGGTGATTTTCGACAAACCCTTCCAGTGATAACAGAGGCTGGTCGTGAACAAACCGTGGATGGATCATTAACTCGATCACATCTGTGGAAGTCTTTCACACTCTTGAGGCTACATAGAAATATGAGAATAAACGTATCTTTGCCTGGAGAAGAGGATTCCCTTAATGGATACACATTCCCCGCCTGGGTGCTGGCTTTGGGGGATGGGAGACTCAAAGCAAAATCATTCAAAAAAGATACCCCGACAGATTGGGTGCAGATTCCACCAATGTTTCTGATAGCACATGAAGGTGACCCTACTGAAGCCATTGTGGACGATGTTTATGATTCATTTGTTGCAAACTATGATCAGCCGGCTTATCTTTCAAACAGAGCAATCATCACTCCAACAAATGCAAAGGTATCCGAAATCAATGAATACATGTTACAATTAGTCCCAGGAGATTCGAAAGCATATTATAGCTCGGACTCATTGTTGCAGTCAACAGAAACTGCTGATGCTTTTGATCAGTGCTATCCTGTTGAATTCCTGAACACTCTGAAATTCAATGGAGTGCCTGACCACGAGCTGGTACTCAAAAACAACACTCCAGTGATGTTGCTTCGGAACCTGAATCCTGCCCTTGGCCTATGCAACGGGACGAGGATTATGATCACAATGTTGGGAAATGATATCATAAAAGGAAATATCATGGGTGGGACTCACGACACGGATGAGGTGATCGTTCCAAGGATTGTGCTCAACATAGAGAGCCCCAAGTGGCCATTCATATTGAAAAGACGCCAGTTTCCAGTTCGTTTGTGCTATGGAATGACGATTAACAAAAGTCAAGGTCAGACACTTGACAAAGTGGGAATTTACCTACCTGAACCTGTCTTCAGCCACGGCCAGCTCTACGTGGCAGTCTCAAGAGTGAAATCGGCCAGGGGATTGCGCATCCTGATAAACAACCCAGAGGACATCCCACATGATCACACAAGAAACATAGTATTCAGGGAAGCGTTTGCTGATATAATGACTGATTGAAACTTCTCTTTACATAGTGTGTTGTGTGTGATGGTGTTTTTGCTTTCTCTTCCATTCTGTTAGGGAAATGGGTGGTTCACCTGCCAAACTTTTGCTCCAAAAAAAAAAATGGTCAGTTCGCCAAGAATCCCTGCCCAGTTATTTTGATAGTTCAGACATTCAGAGGGAATGCATTCCTGTATATTTAAGGCTTTTTTTGCCATGACTAAAGCTTTAGTAATTACATAAGTCTTGCTTCTTGAGTTGTGAGTTTTTTATATGCATGTTTTCTTTGTGTTCTTTGAACAGAGCTGCTGATACATGAAAAGTGCAAGTCTTTGTGTTTGCCTTTTGTAAGTGACAGCAACTCTTTCTGTTGTCTTTTATTGTGAAATGCTCAGGTTGCAGCGAAAAAAAGGATAGATATGTATTATGCATGGCCGAGCCCAGATCAAAGCACAGTGCCACATATCAGGATTGCGACACTCTGGGATCGCTGTGCTTTAGACGATTGAACAACAACTTCGACCAGTTCCATTTTGAATCAGCCAAGCTACTGCTGATTAACCTCTCTTTGCTGTTTCTACTTAGGTCTTGACATACTTGACAACACCTTAGGTCGTCTTTTGTGATGTACATGTCGTCTCCTATCATGGTGCACTCTTGAGCTATTTTGTTTCATTGGTTGAAGTGTTCGTGCTGGCTGTTCTTTTCTAATTTGTAAGATCGACTACTGTGGGTCGTAGATGGGAACAACTCAGCCTTTGACAAGTAATCATCGTACATGTCACACCATTTTGAAGACCGGCTTATATATCGCTATGTGAATCTCTCCTAAATAGCATTCCCATCTACCTAACTTTCCAATCTCCTAGACAATATCAAACAATTTATGACTGTATGTTCTTGCCATTTGTAGGCTCCTATGCTTTTTAGCAAACTTATTTTGTGATCCCCTTGGTTATTCTCCCAGATTCAGAATGGACCACGCTGTGTAATCCATTCGTGGATGCTAAGGTCAAAATTCTGTAACAATTGTTTGATCAACATGTACTCCCAATGTACATACATATGTTCGCATGGTCGTTTATGTGGATGTTAGTTAGTAGTTAGCAAATAGCAATATAATTGTTTGAATTGTGATTTCTCCGATGCCGACCCGGCTTTGTAGCATAAAAAAGTTACGCAAATCAAGCATATCCCGCGGCAGAGCGCGGGCTAATTACTAGTGTTTATTATTCGTGTTGCACAAACCTACCGTACGAATACAATCGAAAAAATTGACTATTAAGGTCAAAGCTTATATAAAATGAATAAACATACAAAATATTCTATTATTTACTTTTTCAGTATATTTCTGATTTATGTGTATCATCCTTGTACATGAGTCATGCTAATCTTTTATGTATCGTTCCAACTTCCAATTTTATCGCATGACCCCGAGGCCGTAGGGATCAGTATAATTTCAAGTTACTAAGAAAAGGAAACAAATGAAGAGGTCGTTTGGGAGCTGGGAGTGAGTGTATCACCGGTGTGATGAGCGATATATTGTGGTGAATACATGTACGATGTTATGCATGTATTGATAATTTTGTTGCTTTGTAAAATAACGCATTTGATATGTGTGATTGCATATGACCCATCAACCAAAAATTTAGATATAACAATCACTTATTTTAGGTGATAGTTTATATCACATCACATAAAACAATGAATGCGAAAAAACAAGGCCAAATTTCAACCCGAAATAACACAATTATTCTCTTATTCTCTTTTTATTATTTTATCAAGTATTTAATTTTCATGGTTCCAAAATTAAAAAAAATTAAAAAAGGGAAAACCAAAATAGACGGGACCGACGATGACATCACGCAACCGCGCGCGAATCGTTATGGGTAAGGAATTAAGGAATAAGGATACACGCGGTAGAAGCAGCAGAAGAGGGAATAAGAAAGAAAGAAGAGACGGAGGGCTGATCACAACACGCTTGTTCCGTTTTTTAACGCGTCTCCCTCAAATTCGTATCCTTCCTATATAATCTTTGATTATCTACCTACGCCCTAACAAGAAAAAAGGAGACGGTTGCTCTGCTGAATTATCCAATTAATCTCTGGTACGAACTCCTCCATTTTCAAAATTACCCTGTTTCTCTGTGGTTGCTTGTTCTTCTTTCCTTCCTTCCATTTTATTGACTGTTGGCATGCTTAGCTTCTGCGATGTTCCCATTTCCTGCTGATGCTTTTGATCCGATCAATCTTTCTGGGTTCCATTGAATTTGATCTGCGTGACCGATTAAAACTCTTAACAACCCCAAAACTTCGAATTTGGGGGGAGATGTTTCATGTTTTCTGGTGGGTTATGGTGGCAATCAGGGCTTGCTTCTTCCTTTAAAGAATGACAGTTCGATCGATCCTATCTTGCTATCTTGTGATTCCTTGAGTTGAGGGCATGGAAATTGATATGTATACATGGACGCTGCCAAGTCCTAATTGTGAATTCTGGAAATATTTTTTTCTCCCACCCATCTGGGTTCCATACATAGAGCCACATACATGTCTGTGGCTGGAACAGTTTTGCCTGAATCTTACTGAATTTGGTATTCTGTTCTAGCTTTTGAACTGAAGTTGATCCCAACACAATGGGAGGCGGCAAAGGCAATGAGCATGACTCTACCGATAAGGGCTTGTTTTCAAGCCTAGGTGCGTTTGCAGCCGGCTCACATTACCCTCCTCAGCACGGAGGAGGGTATCCTCCACAAGGGTACCCGCCACAGGGGTACCCTCAGTACCCTCCTCCACATGGGTATCCACAGCCACCCCACGGCGGATACCCTCCCCAAGGAGGGTACCCTCCAGCAGGCTATCCTCCCCCCGGCGGATACCCTCCTCCTGCTCACGGTGGTTATCCTTCCCATGGAGGACATGGCGGTTACCCTCCAGCTGGTTACCCTGGTCCCTCCCATCAATCTGGTATGTTCAATTGCCCTGATTTAGGAACACCCTTGTTTCTTGAATAGACTTGTCAGATGTACCAACATCGATCCAAGTTTGCGTTCATGATTGTGTTGAATGTTGATGATGATCTGGTGAATTGTGATCGGCAGGGCATGGGGGCGGTATGGGGGCAATGTTGGCAGGAGGTGCGGCGGCTGCAGCAGCTGCATACGGGGCTCATCACATTGCTCATAGTTCTCATGGATATGGAGGGTACGGTCATGGATATGGAGGAGGGTATGGTCATCATGGCAAGTTCAAGCACGGGAAGTTTGGCAAGCATGGGATGTTTGGAAAGCACAAGGGTGGGAAACACTTCAAGAGGTGGAAGTAAAAAAAAACATTTCATATGCTTGTCCTCTGGAAGAATTCAAACGATTACATTTCATCCATTATTAGTAGTGACCAGTGTGGCTTACATCTGACTGCCTTAAGTTTCATGGTCTGTAACTTTCTTATTGTGTCTGCGTGGGGTTTGTGGTTATGATTTTAGCCAGCTGTGTGTATCAAGATCCTGAATGATTGGGTTCATATCAGGGTTTTTTTTTTTTTTTTATGTCTAGGGACTTGTTGTTCTCTGGCTTAAAAAACCTGATAGTCTAAGTTTTGTGGCAATTCTTTTAGTTCAAACTAAAATTTGATCACAAGTCGGAAGTGTTTATGAAGATACGTCCTATTGCTACAATGCAATCACCGATTGGACATGTATATGAAGAGATGTATGTACAGGTTTGTGCCGACATCATTCAGCAGCCTGCAAATAGGTGTTGAGTTGTGACGCAGTTTTGCACCTTGAAAACATGTATTTTCACGTCCTGGCTAGGCTAGGTCTCCTTAAAGCCTTTTTCTACATCAGTCGTGAACTCGAAGTAAAAATAGAATCATCCCTCTAGAATGAATTGGTGGGCAATACTTAATACTAAAAAGATGGGTTTATGGTAAGAACACCGAGGCTTCAGGAGATGAAGACCTGTTGAGAAAATATAGAAAAACTTTAAGCAAAATCGTGGACGGCAGGATTCAAACCTGCGCGGGCAAAGCCCACATGATTTCTAGTCATGCCCGATAACCACTCCGGCACGTCCACTAATTGATGTCATTATTGGGTGGAACCAAATACTGTATAATACGTGTATTTAAGGGTAAATGTACATGCTAAATCTACTGTATAATATGTGTTTAAGGGTAAATGTCCGTCCCGCCAGGAGCTCTTGTTCTCTCTCAGCTCGTAAAGTTGTCCTGCTCTCGATTTTGATTCTCCTATCTCCTCTGCATTGAGATCTCCTTTGGTGGATGGCTTCGCCGGTTCTGTTACCGGCGATTTAATGGGGTTCTGATTTGAATTTTTTACTCTATATAGGTCCTGGGGAGCTATGAACTGGATTCAGCGGTAGCTCTATGTCTAAATTGTCACATTCGTTCTATTAATGTTGGATTGGTTGGAAGTAGGTATACGATCCAGCTCAATATGATTAAAACAGATAAAACTCGAAGTTGATGGGTTGGTGCGGGTAACCCCACTCATAAGGTATGTTACAAGAAACTCCATAACATCTGTTACAATAAACTAATTACTACTGATATTCATCACTTGGCGGCGCTCAGGGTTTAGTGTTAGATTTGTAGGTCGGTGTAGCAATAGGGTAGCCCACTTGGTGGCTCGTAAGGCCCTTTCTTTGTACCCGACTGCGAGTAGATTTTTTGATTTTCAGACCTGGCTGCTTTCCAGGTTGTGACTATCTTTTGTTTTGATCAATGAAGATTATCTTTTGTCAAAAAAAAAAACACCTATTACATAATTTCATTGTTCATTTGATTTCATATCTTTCTCAAACACTAGCCTCTCTATTTTTAAAAACTAGCAAAAGCCCGTTCGCTATCGCTCCGCATATAAAAAATATTTTATAATACTTTTAAGGTTAATACACTTATATATCCAAAACTTTCACGGTTGTGCCAATAATATCCAAATTTCCCGAAATACCACTTATATCCAATTCCTTCACATTCTTTAACGGTGTTTTTGGATATACAAGTGTATTTAACCAAAAATATATTGGGAAATGTATAGATTTGGCAAAGAACAACTTTAAAACATGGATATAAGTGGTATTCCGGGAAATTTTGATATTATTGGCACAACCGTGTTTTGGATATACAAGTGTATTAAACCTAATTTGGTTAAATACAATAAGTTTGTTAATCTTATTTCATTCTTAATCATTCTTTTAATAAGTTTGTTATTTACAATAGCATATGGTTGATGAACTTGCATAAGATAAAATGGTCGTCGAATATATTATTTATGCTTAAACTTCTTTAATGACACCAATGTTTCAATTTGTATGCCTATTAGTTGATCTTGCTATAACTTTTGCAGAATGAAACAACTTATCTGGATCTTTTCAAATTAGATTGGATACCCATGGTTTTAGGGGGGATTTTTCCAGAAATAGCACCTTTTAAAATTTTTTTACAAAAATAGCACCAAGTCCATAGAAATTACAAAAATATCACCCTTTTTTAAAAACCGCACCTTAGAGGTGCGGTTTGATTGTGAACCGCACCCCCTGGTGCAGTTTGTTTGTAAACCGCACCCCTAAGGTGCGGTTTAGTATTCTGTGCCAAAACCGCATGGCCCGGATGCGGTCTAGTCCTGACCTAGCAAAACCGCACTTTTGGGATGCGGTTTTGCTTCTCCAAAACAAACCGCACCCTCAAAGTGCGGTTTTGACAATACAAACACCCCCCATGCGGTTTGTGTGTCAATTATTTTCCGACACCAAACATGTAGCCATGCAGATTGCCTATAAAAGACAGCCCGGGAAATCTCTTCTCTTCACACCTCTCCTTCTCCCTTTTCAATTTTTTGTTGTAGCTCCCTATTTCTCTAGTGTTTTGCGGTTAACGTCAACTCGTAAGTTTATTTTGTATTACTTTTTATTGTGAATTGTGAATTGTGATTTTTATGATATTAGTTGAACTACTGTTTTTTTGCAGATGGCATTCCAAAAGTTCACGCTTGGGTTACGGTGGAATGGTTACACGGAAGAGAGCAGAAAGGGGGTCACCTACGTCAGTGGCAATTTTCAGAAAATAAAGGTCGCTACCAGACCGATGCTTCAAGACCTCTATAAAATGTGTACTAACGTTACTTGCATGGATGGCACGAGAAGAGTTGATCGTATGGTGTACCGATATCCAAACAGAGAAGGCGCATCGTTGTGGCACGAAAATATCTCATAACCACTCAAGATGAGGTAGATGCCATGCTCGAATTCTTGAGGTTCAACAATCTTTCCAAAGCCGAGATGTTCGTTTACACTGAGCCGGTCGTAGGCGTTGGAGGTCATTCTGGAGATGGTCAAACATCTAGTATCCATGGTGGAGGTGAATTATATGGAGATCATCCCTACCAAAGTTACCATGATTCTCATTCCTATTTTCAGTACCAAGAGCAAAGTGATGGTCATTAACAATCTTTCCCGTCATATGAAGAAGAAGTTCAAACTGACCATGCCAATTAACCCCAGTATAACTTCCAATCAGGCAGCGGTAGTTTTCACAACTACCTTTATGGAGCTGATGAAGGTTGCCTTTCATGAGCTGGATCAGATGGAAGATGCCCTGCCAGCACCAGTCAGTGACCCCTCCGATGAAGGAGAGAACAACGTCAATGCAGACAGCTCCGACCCTCTTGAAGGTGCTGATGATTCAGGACCAGAGTCAGACTCAGATAATGATGATGAGGTGGCTCATGACTGTGTACCAGTCGCCTACTACAATCACATTCCATACAGCAATTGGATGGTCGACAGCGACATGGAACCCCCAGAGGTTCCAGTATGGGGTCCACTCACTGGGTTTATGAAGGGCCAACAATTTAGCTCGAAGAAGGAGGTGCGGCACACAATTGATAATGAAGCAATGACTAGGCATTTTGAATGGCACACAACTCATTCCAACACAAAAAGGCCCATAGTCAGATGCCGTAATCATAACGATGGATGCAATGTTAGGATTCGCGCCATCAACAGCAAGAGACACGACCATTGGGTCATATCCCGTGCGGTGAACACACACATGTGTGTCATCTATAACATCCCAAGGCCATCGACAGTTGAAATCCAGGGTGGTTGTTGCAGCTATCAAGCATCTAATTGAGCAAGATCCTGACCTGAAGGTGAAAGTCATAATCGCTGACATTGCAAGTCGTTATGGTTATATGATTAACTATAACAAGGCATGGCATGGAAAGCAGAAAGCTCTGCCCACCGTATTTGGTGATTGGGAAGAATCATATGCATTCCTTCCCAGGTTGATTTTGGCATTGGAGGCGTCTAACCCTGGTACTCTTTTCTCCCCTCGATACCAAGATGAAGAGATACAACCTCTAGAGCCAGGTAACAAACGCCATTTCAGACGACTTTTTTGGGCATTCAAGCCATCTATTGATGGTTTTGGCTTCTGTGTCCCTGTGATCCAAGTGGATGGTACATTCCTTACCGACAAGTACAAGGGCACTCTACTGATTGCTAGTGGGGCGGATGCAAACAAACAAGTCTTTCTGTTAGCCTTCTCCATTGTTGAGGGAGAGAATACTGATAGCCACGGGTGGTTTTTTCGACAAATTCAGCTCCACGTCACTAGGAGGACGAACCTGACAATAATCTATGATCGGCATGCCGGGATTAGAGCTTCCATCTTAGATTTGGATCCAGCCTGGAAGTGGTCCCAAAGGTGGTGCATACGACACTTCAATAGCAACTAGAACCATCATTTCAAGCGAAAGAAGCTTGCTGATAATTTGTGGTGGATTGGTAAGCTCTCTATTGGTTGTTTAATTTTGTCTGATAACAATATCGTATATCAAATAAATGGTACACTTGTTAGACTTTTTCTAATGAGATACATGCCTAAGGAAATGGGGTTTTAAGCGATGATCATGGTCCTCCCATTTCCTGGGAAAATCGGGTTTTAAGCAATCCTCAGATCCCCCATTTTTCTGTTAACCAGGTTGTGCTTCTAATGAGATGATACCTCTCCTAAGAGTCTAACGAGAGTACCTGCTGGTTGTTTGAATTGTACTAAATTGCCGAATTATGACTAACGTAATACTTGATTGTGATTACCTCAGCTGTTGCATACCAAGAGAAAAAATTCCAGGAGAAGTTGCAGAAGATGCGCGAGTTATGCCCTGAAAGGGCACAATGGCTGGATGGACATGACCTATCCATGTGGACATTTCATAAAGACGGAGGTACAAGATGGGGTATGGCCACAACGAACTCAAGTGAGAGTATCAATTCTGCCTACAAGGGTGTTCGGGCGCTCCCAATCTCTGCCATTGTGGAGATGACTTTCTGGAAAACGAATGGATGGTTTGTCAATTGACTACACTGGGCAAGGACGAACGAGGCACGGGGAAAGGTCCATGCCAATAAAGTCATAGAAATACTGAAGCATGACAATCACAAGAGTAGTCGACACAGTGTAACCGTTATGAATCGGACAACTGGCGAGTTTAGCGTGATGACCGGACACAGTAAGGATGGTAGACGAGGGGGCCATTGCCATGAATTTTTGTTAAATTTCAGGATAAAA